GACCCACAGAGAACGTGTGTGTGTGTGGGGGGGCGGGGAGAAGTGGGTGCCATCGTGGGCGCGGTAGCGAGGGAGTGCTGATAAGGAGGACGGACCGGCTCCCTTCAAATAGGCCCTTCCAGACCCAGGTCCCAGCGCTGACCCGGGAGGGAGGTCCAATAGATGGAGTGCTGGCAGGTCTCTGAGCCCAACAACGGTCACTTTAACCCGAGAGACCCCCGAAGGTCTGAAATTCATCCCGTCCCCACATTCTGGTCTGTGTTCTAACAGCCCGCTGTCTGTTTTTACCAGCGGGGGTTTGAGGTTCATGCTTTCTGCTCCGTAGGTTAAGCTGTACTGCAGCTGGGCTCCTGTGTGTGAATAAGGTTTACAAGCCCAGCCCCTCCACTTATTTCCCTTTTCCTATTCCTCAAATCTGTTTCTTCCCCTTGGTTTCCATTGCTGTTGGGGGCACCTGCGCTCCCTCTTTCATCTGCCTCGAAGTGTAGTTCTCCCCAAGTACCTTTTTTTGCTTTTTTGGTTCTTGCCTGCATTCTTCTCTTTGCCATCTCAGCAGTTCCATCACGTTGACCCTCCCGCCACCCTTGAGCTCCAGGTGCCATCCCGATGCCTGCGGGTACTTACATGGCTCCTTTCAAACTGACCTGTTGTAGGTGGTGGAACAGCACTGGGTGTTAGAATTAGGACACATGTTCCGGGTGGAAGGGAAAAGTTTTAGTCCTTAAAAATGCCAAGTCAAAGGATGGGAGAAAAAGGAAACATTAGTTTGGAGGGGTGTGGCCAAATATTTAAGAAACATAGATAAATTCAGGATCCAGTTCAACTTATAGGTGAAAAATAAAACTTTGAAGACAAAGTTTTATTTAATTTAGAGTCTGATATTCACAACTGTGTGTTATAGTCTATTGAAACACAATTCACCCCCCCACTCCAATTCACTCTCAAGTGGAAGAGAGAGGGAAAGACAGAGAAATATCGATGTGAGAGAAACACATTAATTGGTTGCCTGAGAGACACATTGATTGGTTGTCTCTGCACATGCCCTGGGCCGGGAGCCTGCCACCGAGGCATGTGCCCTTGAGGGGAATTGAACTTCAAATAATGATAGAGCATCAGTCTGCAGGCCGATGCTCTATACACTGAGCCAAATCTGCCACACTCACACTGTAAAAACATATACCTATACTAGGGGCCCAGTGCATGAAATTCATGCATGGGTAGAGTCCCTAGCAGCTGCCAGCTGGATGCTCCCTTCCCTGGCTGCTGGTTGCAGGCCTTCCTTCATTCTGTGCTGCCCCCTGGTGGTCAGCGCACGTCATAGCGAGTGAGCGAACTCCCAGTTGGTCCAACTCCCGAGGGGACACTTTGCATATTAGGCTTTTATATATGCATATGATTTTTGTTGATTTCAGAGAGAAAAGGAGAGGGAGAGAGAGAGAGAAACATCAATGATGAGAGAGAATCATTAATGGGCTTCCTCCTGCATGCCCCAAACCGGGGATCGAGCCCAAAATCTGGGCATGTGCCCTGACTGGGAAATTGTATCATGACTACCTGGTTCATAGGTCTATGTTCAACCACTGAGCCATGCCGGCCAGGCACACTCAGACTTTTAAGAGACATATTTCTAATAAAGTATGACATTCACTAATAGTTTCAAGTGTATTTTCTAGCTTTTCTGTAATAAAAGGCCCAAAGTAGGTGAACCTAAGAGTTGTCTAGCAATCATTGTTTAACAACTGAAATGAGTTAATTGGTCTTCTTAAATGGCTAAGGTTTTTTCTTTGGATAAGGATTACCTCCCAGAAACTTGCATTTTAAAAGATGGCTCAGATAAGAGTTTTTGAAGAAGAGTGGGTATTTGTATCTCAAAGGTACAGGGAAAGAAATGCCAGCTTCTCCTAGAAGGATGTTGGTTTCATAAAGCCAATTATCTATAAGCATTTTGAGCCAAATGAGAGGTTTCGGGGAAGGTAAAAGAATTTAGTGGGCTTTGATGTTCTGGAGCCATTCCTCTTTACTTATTTGTAAAACAAGGGCAGTCATTAAAGATTGGCAAATGCTGGCAAAGGACTAACAAATTTCTTCATCCATTTTTGGAATGTTTCCTTCCATCTGGGGACATTTTTCTTTTAGGCTCTAGGAATTAGAACGATCTAGTTTATGGGTAGCATATACAGTAGAGCAGTGGTCTCAGCCTTCCTAATGCCGCAGCCCTTTAATACAGTTTCTCATGTTGTGGTGACCCCCCAACCATAAAATTATTTTTGTTGCTACTTCATAACTGTCATTTTGCTACTGTTATGAATCGTAATGTAAATATCTTAACAATGATGTATTTTCATTGTTACTAATTGAACATAATTAAAGCATAGTGATTAATCACAGAAACAATATGTAATTATTAAACAATGTAATATGTAATATGTAAACAATATGTGTTTTCCGATGGTCTTAGGCGACCCCTGTGAACGGATCGTTCGATCCCAAAGGGGTTGCGACCCACAGGTTGAGAACCGCTGCAGTAGAGGGTCCTTTTTGAGAGCCATGAATGCTTGCATGTAAGGAGTAGACATTGATCTAAGGAGGCCTCATCTTCCATCCATTTCCCTTGGGAACAGCAAAACAGGTCTAACTGCAGGACAGCATTAAACTTAATGATGCCATTAACTGGCCAGACCTCTCCATTGTACACTTATAGATGGGCCAGACTTTTGCAGAAGAAGCCAGAGGGACTCAGGTCCAATTTCTTCCAAAGGATTATCTCAAGGCACTGTGGACTGGTTCCCCATGTACCGAGAGACAGAGAGATTCCAGGCTGAGAGGTGTCCCTGCTAGTTTTTGGGCTGTCCTGAGCTGTCCTGTGGTCAGAAGCGCAGTAGGGCAGATTCCCTATCGCCTGGGAATTACCTGAGGTGTGGAGTGCACACCCCGAGCTCTGGGTGCAGACATACCAACGGTCACAGTGATGGCTGAGCACTGTAGCAGTAGACTCACTCCGCTCAGATGGGGGGACTCAACTCTCTACAAAGCCAATCCCAAGCAAGGTGTCCCTGCTTGTCTGCCTCTGCACCTAACCTCCGTACAGGGGGTGCCCAGGAAACTCATCCCACAGCTCTCCTCTTCAGTAGTTGGGCTAGTGACCTGATGCCCTGCCCTTCATGTGCCCCAAAACCCTGGTCCCTTACGAAGCCTAGGAGCGAGAGAGCAGCCACCCCTCGAAGGGAAGGGAGAGTCCCTGTTAAGTTATCCCTAAGGCTCTCCTAGAAGTTGGTTTCAGGGACTTTAGGGAGTATTCAGAAAAGGTGTTTTAAAAGACAGGGAGCTTCTAGCCCAGCCAGCGTGGCCCAGTGGTTGAGCGTTGACCTATGAACCTGGAGATCACGGTTTGATTCCCGGTCAGGGCACATGCCCAGGTTGCAGGTTCGATCCCCAGTGTGGGGCATATAGGAGGCAGCCAATCAATGATACTTTCTCATGATTGATGTTTCTCTCTCTTTTCCTCTCCCTTCCTCTCTGAAATCAATAAACAAACAGAAAAGTCAGGAAACCTGAAAGGGATCAGAGAAGATCCCTGGGGACCTATGTCAGCTGGGCCGGACAGACAGACAGCACCTCAGACCCCGAGGGAAAATCCTGTCTGCCTTCTCTAGGAAGATTAGGAACTGCCGGGTGTCCCTTATTTTTTAAACAGAATGAGGTTAGGCTCTGATTTCTCCAGCAAAAGGTTTGGTTTAGACCAGCTGTGGGCAAACTATGGCCTGTGGGCCGGATCCGGCCCGTTTGAAATGAATAAAACAAAACAAAAAAAAGACCGTACCCTTTTATGTAATGATGTTTACTTTGAATTTATATTAGTTCACACAAACACTCCATCCATGCTTTTGTACCCGCCCTCCGGTCCAGTTTAAGAACCCATTGTGGCCCTCAAGTCAAAAAGTTTGCCCACCCCTGGTTTAGACCCTCAGAAAGCAATTCCAATTGAAAAGCCAAAGCTGTGAAGGAGCCATTCATTTTCTTCCCCTGGCCTTTAGTCTGGGATGGCCTCACTGGCTGTCAGTTAGTACTGGTGGCTGGGCTAATGGGAATATTGGGCAACATTGCTCATGTCATCCAGCAGCCTAAGCTGGGTATTAACATGGTGGTGGCCACAGGGTTCCCAAGAGCCGCAGACGGAGCCTCGGTGTGCAAGTGCTTCTCCAGTCTCAGCTTGCACGGTGTTTCTGTTGTGTTATGGACAAAGTCATTGAACCCGGTAAGGCCAGTCCAGAGTCAGTATGGGAGGTGGGGCACTACCAACGAACGCGGAAACAGGAAAAGGAATAACTCATGGCCCTTTTGCTCTAATCTGCTGTACTTCTAGACAAAAACTGGACAGTGTGTAATAAATAGCCAGCAAGTGTGAAGTGAGCTGATTCGAAATTTTAGAAACAAGAAAAAGTTATTGGAATACTCTGGGTAGATTAAATGTGAGGCTAAATACAGCCAATTGGAAGACAGGTGTACGGAAACAATCCTTGGTGCATGCTAGAGAGATAGAAAAAGGAAAAAACAATATAGAAGTTGAGATTAGAATAGGACGGTAGAGTAAGAAAGTCTAACATACATACCAGAGGCAAAAACAGGAAGAGGTTCAAAGTGATAGTTAATAAAAATATTGCAGAATTCAAGAAAGGCACAAGTTCTATGGTTGAAGGAGCACACCAAATCCTGAGCAGGGCATATAAAAGCAAACCCAGACCCAAACGTAAAGTAGAGAAGTTTAAGAACATCAGAAGCAAAGAGAGTATCTTTAAATTGCCAGATGGAATATAGTAATCACGATAATGGTAAATAACATTTATTGAGTACTTACAACAGACACTCTCCTGTGTACATTACTTGTGTTAACCCATGTAACATTGATAACAATCCTTCAAAGCATCCTATTCTTATTGCCATTTTATAGATGAGGAAAGTGAGATGCAGAGAAATTAACTAACTAGCCCATAATCATTTGTCTAGTTGGGTTTTAAAATGTATCCAGGATTTTGTATTAACCATGTATGGTAAGATGACTGACCCAGAGACAACTGCTTTGAAGAAGTTTATTATGTAGAGTTCCCAAGTGGAGGGGCATGTCACACCACACAGAGCCACAGGGGGAAACGAGAGGGTTGGTCAGGAAGCGGCAGAGAGTGAGGGGAAACCATGGGCCAGAGCCTTTGTTATGGGTTTCTCAGGAAGAAGTGGACAGGACAGGATAGGCAAGCTGAACAAGTTTAGGATTGGGTAGTTGGAATAATTTTGGCAGGGTCTGGGCTCTAGGAGTGGTCCCTACTTATCGGATACCTGGCCCCAGGTTGATTTAGGGCAGAGGGAATATTGACTTGTTGTGTGGCAGATAAAGACCTTGCTTGGGAGTATGGATTAAATGCTGGTTAGTTTGCATAGAAAAGTGTGCTCATAAGCATGTTTGCAATCTCTAGGAATTAGCCCTGTAGGGGCAGTCACCTCCTGGGCCCTTAAGGTCCCAAGATGTTAAAGCATCATAAAATAAGACAATTCAGATTGTCTTGAAACTAGATAGTGTGCTTTTTCAGAGAATACTCTTAACCTCATTACTATTTTTTATAATTTTTTTTTAAGAAAGAGAGACCAGAGCATGCGTTCTCCCCCCACCCCCGCCTCTTGTTGTTGTTAATCCTCACCCGAGGATATTTTCCCATTGATTTTTAGGGAAAGTGGAAGAGAGAGGGAAAGACAGAAACATTGATGTGAGAAACACATGGATTGGTTGCCTCCTGCACCAGCCCCAACCAGGCCCCGGGCCTGGGAGGAGCCTGTAACCAAGGTGCATGCCCTTGACTCAGTCGAACCTGGGACCCTTTGGTTCGAAGGCTGACACGCTATCCACTGAGCCAAATCGACTAGGGCTAATCTCATTACTATTACTTTGCTTACAAAGAAACAAATTTACCACAGATTTCCCATGAACAATGAGAAATATCAGATGAAATATCAGTGGAAGTATCATTAGTGTGCTAAAGGAAACCTGTTCACCTAGAGTTCTAAAGCAGCTGTTTTAAGAAAGAAGGGGAAACAACATTTTCAGATATGCTAAGATTGAAGGTGCTGACTACACACAGGCCTTCATCAGGAATGATTTGAACCCAGAAGAAAGTAGTAGATAGGAAGCAATAGTAAGGAAAGAAATTGGCAGAACTGTTGGTAAATATTTTTGGTGTCCCAAAAAATGTATATACACTTTAACAGCTGATAGCTCAATTTTGAAAATGAAATGTATTTTAATAAACACTGCCTTTATGATTATTCAAAGTGTGTGTATACATTTTTTTGGGACACCCTATAATTCAGAGAACATTGGACATCTAGTATTTAGGGGGAGGAGTGTGTGAAGATTGAGAAGGATAGATAATGAATCAGGGTCCCCATGGAAGTGAAGGGATTGAGATCTAGAATATAGACCTTTAAAACAGTCACCTACAAGTTTACCTGTTGCCTAAACTAGTTTTCTTAATCATCAGTTGATGTACTGGAATCACAAGAAAAATCTTAAAGCTTTTTATTTTGTGCTGTCTAACATATTTCTTACACATGTACATCAAGTAATTTCCCAGTAATCTCTATAAAACTGCTAGGAATTTTTTATATGTTGAACCAAAGGACCATTTCCACATTAATCCAAGAGAAAGAAAAAAAAAAGTCTCATCCAAAGAGAATCTGATATGATTCTAGAATACTGAGTTGTTCTAGAAACCATTGCATCATATTTAGATCATCTTTACTCAGTTGGTGAAGCGGTAGGGCAACAATTCTCCTTTGACAGGGTGCCAACAGTGAACAAGTGTCTAAGATTTGAAACAGTGTTGGGGACCATCTTGAAGGAGCTGGAGAAAAGCTAAATACTTCCCTGGGTCCTAAGTAGACCTTTCCTCAGAGTTGCTTTTCATTTCTGTAGGGCCTTCAGCCATCAAAATTAAATAATATCTACTTACTAGTATATGCATATTTATTTTTAAAAAGACATTAAAATTTTAAATTTCTATATTGACATTATTATTGATTTTTTACTTTGATTTTTTTAAGAGAGAGACAGAGGAAGGGAGAGAGAGAAGCATCAGTTGGCTGCCTCCTGTGCACTCTGCAACCTGGGGATCTAACCCGTGACGTAGGTATGTGCGCTGACCGGGAATCGAACCCACGACTTTTGATGCACGGGATGACCCACTTGGCCAGGGCAAATTCTTATATTGATGTCCTGATTAATAACCTGTGTTTTCCAGTTTCTTATTAATCATTGTTCACAATTGGACACAGTTTGAAAAATAACCAAAGTACTAGTAAAATATTCTAATAAGTCAGCTTTACGTTTTTAAGGGAGAAATATATATTTTTTTTAATTAAAAAGTTTTTTCCTGGTCTTGAAAAATCTAACCCTATGCCTGATGCATTGTGATTGTGACATGTCTTATGATTAAAAGAAATGTTTTTAATTAGACGCTAAACTAAATTTATAATAATTGTTCTAAATACACAGAATGTCCCTGGCTGCTTATTGTGTCGTCTGTTGTAGAAGAATGGGAACCTCAACTCCTCCTCCAAAGAGCAGCACATACTGGAGAGATATCAGTGAGTACAGTTTAAACAATAACATTTTTTTATAGGAACAGCGGCCTGTTTCCAGAGTGGTGAAGTTTTCAGGGTAGTCCACAAAAGCTTATTGAACCCATGATAAATCTGAGATTTGTTTGTCTTTTCTAGGCTAATAGTCTCCCCTCCCCCCCGCCCCGTTGGTAGGCCTAGAGCTATGCACACTCCTTTTTCTTGGGACCCTTTTCCCTCCCACCTGTTTCCTGTTAGACATTGTTTGCAGGTAGTTTTTATCACGCGCTAACAGGTGGCGCGGGCCATTTTTGCTAATTTTTTGCGCAAATGGCAACATTCAGTAAAATTACAATAACTTTAGTTTACGTATTTATACGTTACCCGCATTCTACCGCTAGTCTATAAAAAACGTATTAATACATGTCCCGCGCTCTACTACACTGGAAGAACATATAAATACGTTTGCCGCATACAATGTGTTAGATTCATACTAATCCTTCTGAATTTAACTTAAGTGTTACTGCATTCTCATTCAGCAGCTATTTATTATTTAAACTCCTGCAAAGCACAGTGCCAGGCACATGTATTAGTAGTGAGCAAGGTAGATGTGCTTGCTTTACGGGAGCTTAGGATCTAGCACTAATCTTGTTTACTTGTAAGTCTTTATTTACCTTGTATATGACTAGTCTTTATTTGTAAAATGAGAAGACTGGCCTAGATCATCTATTATGTGCCAGGTACTATCCTATCCTACCTAGTCCCTAAGGAGACAATACAGGCACACCCCAGAGAGATTGCAGGCTCGGTTCCAGACCACTGCGGTAAAGCAAATGTAGAAAATCGAGTCACATAGCCTTTTTGGTTTTCCAGTCTATTAAGTGTGCAATATTGTTATGTCTAAAAAATGTTATGTACCTTAATTTAGAAATACTATTGCTAAAAGATGCTAGCCATTATCAGAGCCTTCAACAAGTTGTAATCATTTTGCTGGTGGAGTCTCTTACCTTCGATTTGTAAAAACTGCAGTGAAGTGAAGTGCAGTAAAACAGGGTGTGCCTGTATTGAATCATGCAAAGTCCCTGTTCTCGCAGAGCTTCCTCTTGGTCTTCACATAGATCCGTTTTTAGGGTAGATCCTCTTCATCTAGGAAATTTTAAATAGAAAAGGGAACTTTTTCCTCTCTCATTTCTAGCAGAACAAACTCAAGGGTAGTGAACTTTCTTTAGGCTCAGTGATGGGTGGCAGCGGTGGAGAAGGAAATAAACGGCTGCCCCGGGCCCACGCTGTGGCGGCAGGAGGAAGCCCAGGAGCCATGTTGGAATGAAACTGCCCAGAGGAGCTGGACAGCCGGGAGCTCTGTGTGTCGCGCTTCTGACCTCATCCCTGCAGGCCTCCTGGCACTGTCCTCTCCCACCCTGGACCACTAGGCCCTAAGGTTTGGGAGGGATGTCCTCTGCCTTACCTGATGCGGGAAGTCGATTGGGGAGAAGGGAGGAGAATGTGTTCTTGGCAGCTTGTGTTGAAGCTCTGAACAGAGGGCTACCTCTACAGCTAACCATAAAGGTAACACAGACTCTTGTGGACAGGCCACAGCCCCTCACCATCATGGCTGGTATGTCAGTGTGTTCAGTGCATGTCACAGAGACTTGACGACCATGGCTTACGTAGTAAGGTTTTCATTTTTCTTAACATAACAGGAACTCAGGACTGAGACTCTTTAGGGCAGGAATTGCAGTTTAGCAATCCTTGTCTTCCTCCCTCACTTCTTTATTGTCTTCATGGTCACAAGATGATTGCTGAATCCCTGGGCATCAAGAAGGCAGCCGGCCAAAGCTATCTTATGAGGCTTTGTCTTTTTATTTGGGAGGGATCCCTGTAGACTTGTCTCTATCTGACTGGCTACCACTGTGTTGCACAGCCGTCCCTAGCTGCAGAGAGTTGGGACTTACCGTATTTGCCGGCGTATAAGACGATTTTTTGGCCCTGAAAAATATGCCTCCAAGTTGGGGGTCGTCTTATACGCCAGGTACACTTCAGATAGACTGCCCATAGTGCTTGCCCCATGCCATAGTGGCCTCCCGATGCCCGCCCACTTCATTCCACATACCATGCAGGCATCAGCAGCGCTGCTGGGTGTATGCTCGGCTGTTTTGCGAT